TCAGCCCATCCAAATGACAAAAACACACATTTTCCCACCTGTGCTGGTTTTATTTGGCCAGGTTTTGAGGTTTCTGTTGCCAAGCAAATACAACACGGGTGAATGGAATTTTGTTTGTAAAAAAAAAAAAGAAAAGAAAAGAAAAGTCACTTTAAAAATGCCATCACTTTTTATTGCAGATATGGTAATAGTAATAGAAACTGTCACAGTGACTCTCTGGACACTTTTTCAGGAAAGACAGGCTGCAGCTTAATCTTTAAAATATACTATTTGCATAAAAAATTACTTTTGTATTGGCATTGCTCTCTATAAGCTGACATAAAAATGGGTGAACTGTATTTAATCTTCATGTAATATTATGATATACAGCATTACACTGATGGAGGATACAGCACCTTAAGATATGGTTTATTAAGGCCATATCCTAAAATTAAACAAATTATATGTAGTTCATTTGTATTAATACTGACAGCAGAGAAAAAAGTGAAAATAAAGGAAGGGAGGATAGAAAACAGTAAAAGAGAAATGGAGGCAGTTGCAGACAGGGTTGCAGAGTGACTCACTGGTCCTGCAGGGCGAGTACTCCGTGTAGGCGCTGAAGTTCTGGATAGCCACATAACAAGTCCCCACAGGTTCCTTCTCCCCACTCAGCTTCAATGTCCGCCAGTGGTAGAGAGGAGCGCATGCCTGAATAACAAATAACACTCTTATTCTCACATAATCGAATATTGCACATTAAAGTACATCTAAATGCCTTAAGCATGTGCGATGATACAGGTACGTGTGTGATATGAACTGACATCAAGACACTCACCACCACTTTTCCTTTGTGTGTCCTGACTGATGCTCCAAACCACTGGTGTGACTTAAACTCAATAGGCTCTCTGGTGCCATTTACCTTCATCATTCTGTTATCTGGAGACAGAGACGGAGGAAGTGGCGAGGACATAAAAAGAGAATGAAAGAGACGGTTCATAACAGTGCCAATAAAATTTGATATTGACCGTAGTAACGTAGACCCAGGCCTGTAGCTTTGACTGTGTGGGTGGAAAGCTGTTTTTGATAAGAAGGAACAAACAGCAATGTCTTAAACAGGTCTGTAACAAACATCCAAAAACCATTTGCCGCCCAGAAACAGACATATATCAGGATACTGGAGGGGTTTATATGCACCAAAGCCTTTCCCATAAAATGTAACAACACTTAAGGGACTTTTGCCTGGGCCTGCACACACAGTGGATTAGTAGAAGGAGAACACAGACACTGGAGCAGTCAAGTATTTTGCTTTATTTGGTTTCTACACTCTAATCATAGACATGCAATCTATCACTGATCTGTTGCACTAGCCCCATATCATCCCCCATTCCAGCCCCCTTCCCTCTACATTGTCATGACTTCTGCATAATGTCACTTAAGCCATGCACACACACACACACACACACACACACACACACATAATTAGAGGCATGCGAAGCTGATGTATATATATTAACCAATACAGTGCACAGAGATGTTCATCACTTGTGTGTGTGTATGTGTGTTTTATATGTGTAATAAAGGAAGGGTCTGTGGTCGCTGTCATCAGTCACCTTATGTGTACCCAACCACTCTAGTGAAAAGATACATGCACATGCACAAGTCTACACACACATTTGTACCTCTATGTTTATTTTTCTATCCCCAAAACCTGAAATTTCCCTGAGAACACAATACAACTAACTCCTCTGTGAAAAATATCCTATAATTAACTTTAGGGAGCACAGAGAAAATGGTCCTCACTTTGGAGGTTTACCCTCATCTACATGAAGCCCAGCTCCATCTAGAACTGAATCTCTCTCTTTGTGTCACATAAAGTAGTTCTCCCAGCAGAATGATTCCTTGAGTTAGGTTAGAGAATTGAGGTTGTGACCAGTCAGTGCAGTGACAGGATTATAGTGGTAAAAGTGATGAAGCAGTACTTTCCCCACCCTCGTCAATATCACTGCAATGCCCATGAGCAAGGTCCTTAACCCCAGCTGCTCCAATGGAGCTAGGCACTCAGTGACCAGCACGTTAGACTGTGGTTATACTGGGCAGCTTCCAGGTGTGAATGTGATCAGGGTGTTCCTGAAAACAGAGGTGGCCTCTCAATGGACCTACTCTGACTAAATAAGGGTTAAATTTAGAAGAATAACTTATTGCTGCTCTGATTCTTTGTGTTTCTGGTAAAGCGCAGAGGAACTTCCATCAAATCTTCTCAAAGATGACAGAAGTCCTTCCAAAAGAAAGATTGACAGAAAAAGAGAGAGGAATAAACTGATGAAGAACAAGCATAGGAGTGGGCCGCAAGGAGAGAGGGATACATTTTCAAGATCTAATAAAAAGCAGACCTCACCCAAGCCCCTTTTCTTCCAAAGGGGAGCTAAATTCCCATGTGCATGCACTTTACCCCCTCCCCTCTCTCTGTCTCTCACTTTCTCACTTGTTCTCTCTCTCTACCTCTTGCACACACACACACACTCAAATGGAAATGTGTGCATCAGAGACGTTAGATGCACAAACAAAGACTGATTGCACAGTCAGCACTGATGATAATATGCTGAAAACCATAATGACTGTAGGCTTGCACGAATGTACCCGCCAGCCACCTTTTGTTTTGTTAGACTTAGCTGATGAGACCCATATGTCTTATCTCTCTTTTGTCCAGCAACAGTCTGTGCCAACCCAGATACACACACGCATGTTAGACGCACAGGTTGTAGAACTCCACTGGTTCCAAATAGCAACATCTGAGGGCTACCTGTGGCCTTCGAAGGACCTACTTGGACCTCCGTGAAAAAAAAGTTGTTAAATTTAATTTCTGCTATTCACTAAAGTATTCATATGAGAACTCATAAAACAATTCAGGTCTCATAGTCTGTCCAGCTTTAAGTGTTAAGTTATTCCTTTTCACATCCTGTAACAACACAAATCCTTCAAAACACAGGTTTTGGGAATAATGAGGATAATTACACCATGTGGGGCCCAGGAGGTCTGTGATGAATTTATTTTGGTCCATGCTATAATAAAATTTGGTGACTTACTGGAATTGTCAAAAGGTATTTGTCTGCAGCTGTCAGGCAGCCCAGGCCAGGGGCAGTAGTAGACGGCTCCTGCCTCCACGATGCCGGGCTGGGAGGTGTTCGCCTTGGGCGCCCCCACCAACACACTGATCCTGGCGGGGAAAAAGAAAAACCAAAGTACATACACATGGCATGCAGGAGGGAGCATACACTATGCCAACATGTGTGCACACTGCTCATTCACAAATCTCTTTCCTTTCTCTTATTCTGACTTGTTCTGCGAGGTACAGTAATCTGAGCACTCCATACTTCAACTGTTCCTAACATATATGATGAAGAGTTATTTAATTTTTATTTAAGTAGAGATTAATACAGTTTTATTCCACTTACTGTACATGACATAGGCTGCATTATATATTTGTATTATGTTGTGTCAGTCCCGATGTTGCCACTCACGTGTTGCTGCCAGTGGTTGCTTGGTAGAAGTCCACAGAGTAACCGAAATAACTTCCATCGGTTCCCCTGTAAACTGTAGGATGCTCTGCGTGAAGGTTAAAACCCCAAACTCCATCCAGTGCCGTCCAGAGCACCGAGAGAACCCCGAGAACAAACATCCCAGCGGAGCAAACGCAGTCCAGTGCGCGCTCCATCCTCAAAGCACAGCCAGTTGCGCACTATTCCAAAAAATGAGAGGGAACTGGGAGAGGGAGAGATATTCCTCCTTGCAGGTGAGGTGCGTTTGTCCCGAGTAAGTCCGCCTGTCACTGGGTCACTGCGCTCCCTCAAACCTACCCACTGACACTCCGAAACCACCGGGTCTGTCCGGAGTCTCAGCTACAAACTGCACAGCCGCGCCCCCGCCCTGCTCACAAAAACGTAGAGACCACATCTAAGCGCGCTAAGTGGCTGGCGCGTCACAGCTCCTTTCAACAGAAAACTTTCTGTGGCGCTGGGGACTCAAACCTGAAACAATAAATAGCATTAAAGTGAGATTTACAACCAGTCCAGAAATGTTCACAGTCGCAGGAACAAAGACTTAATTTGACTCCACTTTATTTGCGCGCGCATATGCACACAAATAAAAAGAATAGTTCATAAATTTTAACCATCTTAATAGACTAGGTTTTATTGGCCAGTTTGTTCAAAGATGTCGTTAAAACTGGGCTGCGTTTCCTTCCGCTGAGAATAATCACCTGTAATTATGTCAGTAATTACTATGTCGGCATACAGCAGATATCTGGAGCTGGACAGGTAACTTGGTTCATTCGACACCAGGATACGTTCATCTTCATACAGTTTGAAGATTTGACAGGCCAGAACAGACGTTTGCATACTTAGCACAGCACACTTCTGACATTGTTCTTATCAAAATCATGTTTTCTGCGCGTGTGTGGAAAGAAAGTGGAAGAGAGATGAAGGTTGTACCCACTTCCATACAAGCGGATCTGCTGTTTGTCAGCTTGCGGAGTTTGCTTGAACTAAAATAAACTTTATGGACACATTAGTGATGAATTCAAGTGTCACGTTGCAGTAAAACGGCAGCGGACCAGCGCTACAGTTTGCGCGTATCCGTCAGAAGAGCTGATAAGAACCAGCTGAGGTGAAGAGTCTAGAATAAGAGAAGAAACCCAACCTCGATCTGCTAGATGAAGGTGCTTCTCTCGTCCTTCGACACCTTTCCTTCCATCCATCCATCTTGCAGTCCTGTCCCCTTCTTGTATCGTTTTATTTAATGATTGCAGACTTGGTTCAACTTGTCTAAACATCTCCCTGATTGTTTCTGTGCAACACTAATGAGTGTGTGAGACAGAAGACGGTAAAGGGCTCTGCTCTTTCTCAGCTCTTTCTATGTAAATATAAGGTAAACAGAAAAAACACAACATATGTATATTCTGTAGGAGACATGTCTTCTCACAGAAGAAAGACAGGGTGAGGATGATGGAGCAATGCCACAGCAGATTCACACTCTGTTCTGTTTTTTTCTGCATCATGTGGTTTATGAGGTGGTCAATGAGGTAACCAGCATCATTTTCACTGCCTACAGTGAGCATGTGTGCACTTCCACCTACAACCAGTTCCTAAAATGTCTTAACACCAAATAAAACCCTGTCGAGGTTACATCCTCAGTCTGCCAGTTTGTTCTGATCATGGATTTACTGCAGGTCATTAAACACTCACTGTTAGTGCTTTATATTTGTACCCACTGTGCTCCATCTCTCTTTACAAACTCATCTGATTATAAATCAGACTTATGTCAGATTAGGCATTAGAGAAAACCATTAAACACACACACACACACACGTGGCTGGTATTACAACAACCTCGTGCACAGATGCAGTGGAACAAACATGATCTATATACACTAACACAAATGCATAAATGCTGTGTTAAGAACCGAAAGCCAGGACTAAGTGCTGCAATAGCATAAAGTGAAACTGCTCTAACACTTTCCACTTGTTCTGAGTGATAGCTTAGTAACACATAAAATGGTAGTGACATGCCACCGTTTCATTCGTCTTCTTTTGGTAAATCTTTCAGTAAAATACAGTTTTTCTGTCTTAGAAGAAATATTTTCTGTTTATAGAAATGTAATTAAGTGTCTTGGAGATTTAATGCTTCTATGAACAGAAAATAAAAGTTGATGGTGTGTGTTTTAGAGGAAAAGGGGATGCAGGCATCCTGAAACCTGAGGCTGTCCGATGTTAAGGTCAGGACATATTTAATCAGAAGAAGATGCACAGAGTAGGATGTCTCTAGGGGAATCCAAATTCTCCTAATTGCATCCAAGGAACTGTGAGGAGAGAGGAACCGAGGAGATGTTTTAACTGACATGAGACGTCCTTTCCTCGAGTCTTCATGTGAAGCAAGCAATCACAAATCGATTTCAGACAAAGGGGTGTGTCGATAACAGACTTCCGTGAAGGATGCACTTGTGTATCCTTGGTTATACAGTAGCTCTTCCAGGCAGCCTCCTCGCCCTCAGAGCAGGAATAAAAGCTTTGGGATGATCGACGAATGATAAAATTAGGGAATTGAGATTCACCTTGTGACTTCAGAGCTAGCAAACCACAGCATTTCAACAAAAAGTGTTTATTCCAGAACCTTTGAGTGTGATAATAAATACATTGATACTTGGCCAACATCAATGTGTGGTGCACAAAGGGCATGCGCACACACAGTGCATGTAAACCAACTTCAACTTGGTGAAAATGCCTCCAATTCACATCCCCAGTTCTCTGCATCTGGGTTGGTCCCTTTACATCGTAAATGCTTATCAGTGGGTCTGACTACATGTGTGTGTTCTCATATATGGAAGGCTTTGGTAGGTTTTCCCTTGGACAGTCCTACAGCTGGATTAACAGTAGTGTCTCACAGTTGACTGGTGATGCTCCAGTCCTTAAACCAAACCAGTCTGTTTCCTAAACAGTGTCTAACTGTCTACTGCTAAGTTGTAGCAGGTGTCGGCACACAGCACAACCATAGAAATAAAAAATAAACAGTCATTCAGTTATATTTCAATAGCCATAAATATCCTGTGTGTGAAATTACAAGCTGTGGTGAACGGACAAGAGCATGACTTGTAAAGGTGGGTTTACATTTGTGTGGAATGTGTGAGTGAGAATGAAAAGAAGAGATCTCAGGCCTGTATGTTTAGTTTAAGTCTCCAGTTTGTATCCATTTGTGTTGTTCTCATTCGTCTGCATTGAATGTGCCTCAGCTGATCTGTCAGGGTCGGCGTGCAGAGGGGAAGCTGGATCGAGGCGTGTGTGGAGCAGTAGTGGTCCGTCCCCATACGAAGACACACGCAGACTGTCTCAGTGCTAGTTCAGTGAGGGCGAGCGGTCGGTGGTCCACAGCAGCTCGATATAGGGCCACTTGGTCTGTAGGCAGCGTTTGACTGGAGTGTCGTCTGTCCGAACCATGGGGTCCTCGAAACCTAGTACCAAAGCTGTTCCTTCCACATACTCTACCTAAAAACAAACGCACACATGTAGGTCAGCACACAGTTAACACAGAGTTAACCAAACACACAAATTTCAACACTTTCTGCCAGCTTTGACAGGCTGCAACTCCATCAGTCTCTTCTGAGACACCTCCTCTTAGAAGGTCAGGGGTGAAATACAAGGGGCTGATGCAAGTATACAAAGCACACTCGCTAACACACATATACCATCTGCAAAGGACTGTTGCTGCAATCAGCAGGCCTGTTATTCCCATCTCGAGCTATGGGAATGGAATTGTCAACACATCCTTGCCCTGCTGCCATATGCATATACTGTTTGTGTGTTTGTGTGTGTGTGTGGACACATGTGCTGCCATTCAAACATTCGTGTGCGGACACATGTGCTGCCATTCAAACATTCTGCAGTAGCAGTATGGAAAATAACTGTTCTATTGACCAGATCAATGAAGAAAGTGATATTTCTGAGTACCAGGTTTGTGCACTGCCATCAGTTACATCCACTGACAATCATCCGTCAAACTAAGCCTGTATAATAGGCTTGTGTTTTACCTTTTATCACAGCTAGGCTGCTGACAGAGACCTCCGTGTTGAAATGACTCACAGACACACAAGGCTAAGCAGGGGTTTTTGGATGGATGGATAGGCTATTAGGCTCGCAATAGCTACTGTTTATTCTGGAGTGGCCGGCTGCCTCAGACTGTGTGTGTGTGTGCGCGCACATGTGGGTATGAATGATGACAGGAAAAGAAGAGAAGTAATTGGGAGAGAAACAGGGAATATAAAACAGAATGACCATCATTACTTAATATGAAAATGAACATGAACAAATGTCTTACCCTCTCGTTGTAGTTGGACTGTTTGAGTCCATTGTAGTGGTAGATGGGAAATGAGTCTGGGATTCCTGAATCCTGGAACACAGACAGGGAACAGACTGAAAAACATGTTATGTTGTTCGAGAGTCCCTGGGCAAACTGTTCTCACAGAGATGAAGGTAAAGACCCACAGAGGCAGAAACAAGTCAAAGTGAAACATCTCTGCTTGTAACCAAAGCTTATATGTTATATCCCATGTGTTCACTTTAAATGTGTGTAGCACTAGGAAAATGTCTGAATAATGACACAAAGTCAAACACTTCCCATAACTTTGGCTTGAAGGTGCAGAGTGTGTCGAGATCTTCGTGTTTATATGCCCATATATGAAACCCTAACCATCAGCCCAATCCCATGTGTGTTTGAGTGTGTGTGTCCAGTTGGCTAATGGTAGTATAATTTCTTTGCGGCTCAGGGCCGTTCTCTGGTGAGTCCCTAAATCCCTGATCACTTTAACACAGTTCCCCTCTGTCTCTCCCTTTCTGCCTTCCTCACTCACCCTCCTTCATAAAGGCGCCTTACTTCACTTTCTAAGCTTCTCTTCAAACCATATCATGATGAACACACACACACACACACAGATTTCATATGAGACACCACAGGAATGTTGTTGGCATCAAAACCTTTGATTTACTAAAACAGCGCTCCACATACAGTATGGTTGGGAAAAAGACATTAGTGTCACCCGTTTGTGTGTACACAACTTGTATGCGTTTAGCTGAGATGTGGATTGCACCACTGGTGGAAGACATTTGTCAGACAGCGTGTGCACCTCTGAAGTGGAAATCCACCTCTGCACACACGCTCACAGGTACCTGATCAGGGAAGAACTCCAACAGGAACGGGCCCAGAAGGATTATGCCCAAACTCTCTGGATCCAGCTTACTCTTCACCAGACTGACACTGAGAGGACAAACAGAGGAGGATGAGAAAAGGAAGCAGAGGAAAACAGATGCAGAAATCCAGACAGAGAACAGACTGAAGGAACATGCACCTAGAAAAAAAAAAGGGGCACAAAACAAAAAATCTGTGATGTTTTGTGTTTGAATACAGAGTCCACTTTATGATCCCCTTATTACTTAGTGTGGTCTTGCAATGTGTGTTTTGGTGAGTGTGTGCATGTTTTCATGAATACCATGGCACAACTAAATATACCGCTTTCCAGACATTCCTACATGTTAGATCAGTGTTATTATTATTTCTCCATGATAAAAAATAGGCCTTTTAAGGCAGTGAGGAGGGAAGAGAGGGTTATGCCCAGACAGAGTGAAAGCAACAACTGTGTCGATTTTTTAGCAGTAGTACATGTACTACTTCTAAAAGTTGTACATGTACTACTACTAAAAGTAGTACAGAGCAGACACTGATCCTGCTCAACTGTCATTGAGCTGTCAGTGACACGTGCCGTTCTGTAACTGACTTCGGATCCATTTGCAGGGGAAAAGGAGAACATCTCTACATGGATCAATACAATATGTCATTATAAACAACTGGTTCGTGTTGACAGGGATCAGGGGCGTGTGTGGGTTTGTGTGTGGGTTTGTGTGTGGGTCCACCGAATGAGAGCATATGACGCCATCATTTAAAAAGTTTACTGGGCATGAGATGATGGTGCATTTAAAATGCCGACACCGAGACTGCCAGTTATTCCACGTGTCCATTACATCCTCCTGTTTGGGTTATAGTGCAGTCAGCTGATGTTTGTCTTGAGTGGTGTCTATCATTCCAGTGGTAAATGGCCACTTTTCTATACAGCGAAGAACACTGAAAGGGCTTTTACACTATTTTCCATTCACCCACTGTGCACACAAACATTCACACAATGATGTCTGGTCCAAGGACACTTCGACACATGAACCATCAACCCTCCGGCTAGGAGACGAGTCGCTTTATTGTATTGTTTTCTTTAAGGATTCTGTACAGACTGACGGTGATTAGCTGGTTTTGCACTGAGGGACTAGCAGTATTGAATGTTTTTTTTAATTAATGTTACATTAGTTTGAATTTTCCAAATGGGGCATTTCAGTCTGTGAGTATCTGTGAGTGACATTTCAATGAATATTCTGGATTTGCTCTTCTTCATGGTTTGATGCCATTATGCAAGCACTAAATATGCTGCTTTTTTCATGTGGAAGAATTCCTGCCTTGCACCGAGTGTGTCCCTTCACTTTTTTGTGTTCAACTGTGATGTATCAGCCATCTGGGGGTCTGCAGAGCAGATCAGGGGTCCAGTGACTCAGCCAGGCCCGCAGCTGCAGCGTTAGGCCTTACTGTTCCCTCAGATGAGAACGTGCTTCTGTTTGAAGCGGCACTTTAAAGCGTTTCTTCCGTCTCGGTCTTTCTTCCTGCTGTTAATAATCTCCCTCTAAGCCTGTGTTTTTGATTCTTTCTTGCTAAACTTTTATAGTGGGCTCTCTCTGGTCTTACTTTACTGTAGCCTGGTAGTGAAACGTGAGCACAGGGTGGCTGACCTGGCCTGGCCGTGACTTAAGAGTCGGAACTTAAGTCGGCTCTACAGGTGTGTCTCTCTCTCTCTCTCTCTCTCACACACACACACACACATTGAAATATATATACACACACAAAATATGCAAACACTTACTACTCTGGCTCTGAGACAAGGTCAAGGGCTTTCATCACATCCTCCAGCAGAGACTCTGGGATGAAGCCATTATCTGGAGAGAGAGAGAGAGAGAGAGAGAACAACAGTGAGATAAAGAAAAACTGATGCACCGGCTGACTCTGGACAGAACATTAAATACAGGCTTCAGCTGAAAACCAGGAGAAGCCTTCACTCTACACACATATGGCCCTTCTTTCTCCGACCTACATTCCCCGGCCATGATAACCGCTTTACCTGAGAGGACAAACTTTAAACAATAACATGTGCTTTTGCCCAAAAGACACTTATGAATTGCATGTAATTTAAACATCAGCATGTTGGCCTATGATGCCTGTTGTCTGGATACATACATAAACCCAAAGGGCACTGTGAAGAAGATTAACTGGCAACAGCACAGAGGGACAATGACAAACAACAAATATTAAAGAACACGCTGAGACAGTGGGCTTCTGAGTGTGTACGTCTAGTGAGTCACTGTATTGTGTTTTAAGACATCTGGCGCCCTTTCTCCAACACAGTGGTGACTCCACATTTGACACAGACGGATTTAGAGGTCTTTTATACAGCACTCGACTGTGCTGCTGGCTACAACATGTGTGTATACACTACAGTGTGTGAACAGGTGAGCGTTATGTACAGTACATCCCCTCTTGCATGTGCTTACATGTGCATTTTGATCTGTGGGGACACCTACTGTAGCCAAAGCAAGTGTTTGTGCACGTCTGCACCAACGCGTGTGAGCAAAGACCATCTGGTGGGCAAAATGTCCCAACAGAGGAAACAGAAGTGGATCTGCAAACATGCAAATTGGTATTCTGTGCAACAGCAAGAGGCAGATGAAAAACAAGGAAAAAAGATGACAGTTACTGTATGTTTACATATTTGTTGCTGAAGTGACTCAGTGCAACACTTTATCACACCCCATACAAAATAATCTCTATAAATCTGCATGTTTTCCTACAAGCCAGACAGTGAATAATGATGTTTATGGCAACAAAGAACAGCACTCTTTACACAATGACACTGCATAAATATGAATGCACAGTATGAATTACGACTAGTGATTTACTAGAACCTTGGCTGAATACTCTTGCAACATGGATAGTGCCAAGTGTGTGTTGTGAACATGCTCCCAACATCTCTGCAACTCATGTCTCCAGAGCAGAAGAAAAACAATACACAACAGATGTTAAGACTGAGTGTTTCATTTCAACGCACACTCTGGTCTTTAAGTGCTCATGACTGCACAAACATGCCACAACATAATCCTGAGGCTACATGAATCAACGCTGCAGACATCTGACATGAAAAACTACACTATCTTCTCTTCATCTGTCTCTTGTGATAGTGTGGCTTTCTGGGTCCTTCCCCTTGCCTTTTACCCCAGTCACCTCGAGGTGACAAAAAAAACGAGGTTTAAGGAGAACAAGGTACAGAGGGAAGGAGTAGGATGACTGACTCAGCTGTTAAAGGAGCTGATCTCACCAGCTTAAATCACAACAGTGTAGATCAGAGGAGAGAAACAGACACTCGTTCTGCCTGAAGAAGACAACACTGGAAACAGGACAGAGGAGGTAAAGGGGGGGCAGTGGGGGTTACAAATGCATCTGCTCCACAGGGAAGAAGGGAAGACAAAGACAGCAGGGCCAGGATATTGTTTTCTCAGTTTGTGTGTGTAGCTGTGTTAAAGTGAGAGTTGGGATTAATTACAGAACAGCTGTGTGTCATGATTCTCATATAGCTGGTGTATGGATGAGCAAATTAAGTATAATGATTTATTTAAAAAGGTGCGCGGAGGCTGAAGCTCCAGAGATGTGAATCATTAGCATAATGATCACGTGTACAATAATATAAGATATTGTCATTACCTTCAGGATCAAATGACTGGAAGACTCTCCGTGCCTGTTCAGATGAAGACTCTGGACCTACCAGGGACATCTCCTACAGAGAGACAGCCAGGATGGAGAAAGAGAAAAAAATAAATAAAAGAAAAACAAAAAAGGAGGAGAAAGAGAAGTATAAAAGCTGAGAGGCTGTGTATGACCTAATGTTTGACCACATAGAAATTTGTGACTCAAGTGAGGAGTAGGGTTGCAGCGGTATCCTGGTTTCAGGGTATACCATGGGGGGGGGAAAGAGACGCAATATGTGCGCACCTTTGTTCACCGACTGCCTATCAGACTCTACAATGGGCACCACATGCAGCGGACAAACGGTAGAGAGAATATGTCAAAGAAGACCATCCACCAAAAAAAAAAAAAATTAAAATCAGTAGTGTGGGATTATTTTGGATCTCTCAAAAACTAACACCTCGAGAACACCATCCCTTCGTGCAGATCAAAGTATGTGTCCTGTTTATTACTTTAATCCCAAACAATAAAATGAGTATATACACATGTTGATCATAAAATGCACTATCAAAATCATTTCCCCACATTGTCTGTTCATACGCTAATCTCTAATCTTTTACAAAATGATTCACACTGATCCCGATTGGACCCCAGAAAAACACACGCACACACTTTCCCAGCTCATACAAGTGCTTGTGTGTGTGTGTGTGTGTGTGTGAATGAAGGCACAGACAGGAACAGTCTGGCTGTGCTATCGCACACCTACGATGGTTTTTTAGAGCATTGTGACGGCATTTCTCATTACTGCCATACGTTTTAGTGTATATTCAATCTAGCTCAATCAACTGGCCTAGTCACTTGCAATAAAAAAAGAAGACCCTTTTGTTTTCATTCCTTTGGTCGTTGTAGCTGATGATAATACTAATATTAATACTAATACTGTGCAATACCGTATACTGTAATACCGTGAAACATATTTTCTGAGACGGTTATCGTACCGTGAAAATCTCATACCATTGCAACCCTAGTGAGGAGACAGGGGAAGCTGCAGAAACAGAGAGCACAGAGGGGGAAAGAGGAAGAATTAGATCACATCGTAGCAGAAGGTGGCTTCATCAGAACTGAAAAATTAGAAGTGATCAGACTATCACCTAGATCTAGTCACAACTAAAAGACTGTGATTGTTCTTGTCAAGGCTTCAGCAAGACTAATGCAGGGATTTCCCCAACCATATAAAGGCTTAAGCACAGCACCTAAGTGTGTTTGTGGAGCGCCTAAGCCAAATGAATGTGAAGAGGCAACATCAGAATGAATGTATAAACAACGGTGCACTGAAAAAGAGAAGTGACGAGCTGAAAACAAAAGTAAGCTGGCAACAGGAATGACCTGTCAGTCAACGATCAGTGTTTGGATCAATGTTTGTGACTGGCAGCCTCCCCAAGCTGATCAAACAGCTGACTGGCTATTTCTCTGTACCTTCAACTCGGGACAGTAGTTACAGCCATCGATAACGTTAGCCCCACAAAGAATAGGCTACACCTTTGTTGGGGAGTAATTCTTGTGAACGGGAGATAGAATGTAATCAATTTTACAAGGAAAGAAACTGCTAACGTAGCTAACATGTACAGAACTAACTAAGCTATGTTAGCCAAGAAATCTATTTAATGTTATATAAAAAATATGTTATAAATGTACAACAAACTACTGTCAAGACATGCAGCCAACACACAGTGCCACGTTTTGCAGCGGTGTGCGATGCACTGCTAATGTACTTTGTGCACATTTGTGTAACTCTGTATAATCTAAAGGGCCAGCAAATTCACCAGAGCACACTGGGTTATTAACTGATCTGCTGATAATGTTAGACGGCTTGTTTTCGTTCCAAACACACAATCAGGAAATCAGATCTTACACATATAGCCAGTGATTTATGACAAGCTCTACACTGTTTGTTTGTTGGTGAAGTTTTGAGAGAACAGTGTTGGCAGTGAAAGCAGTAATGTAAGAGTATACATGTACGCAAGTCAAGAGGGTGATACCCCTTGTGACTGGACTAAACACCTCTCACTCCCTCTATAGCAAGGGTTTTAGCATAAGCAAGGGTACGACAATGATGCCAAAGTCACGTTGTGAAAGAACAGGTCTGAGAGAATGAAGCAGGATGCAACAACTTTCTCAAACCATCTGTGTTTATTCCTCACATGATGACATCTGTCACTTATTTTGTGGGCAACAACATGAACGGCATCAACAAAGCACCACGAAGTGCATGCATGCCATTATTCTTCCCACTGCACTGACACAACAACTACACAGAAGACACTGGGATCTTGCAGAGACACCACGGTAGCAGCATGACACCGCCTCCAGAACAGGGATAAACACTGTTGCCTTGAGATGAGTCACTGAACTATCAAGTTGGTTTTGTTTTATATATACTGAACCCTTAAGATTCGAAGACCTTTTTCTCATGCCGTCTCTTGTCTTAGTCAGTGTTTAATCTTTTTAAACATAATGTGTGTAAATGAAATGCCTCAGTGCATTATAACATCAAGTGCAATGGCGAGTGTCAGTTCCTTGAAAATGTCCTGAATTTACTAATTAGAAAGGTTTAAGTAAAGAAATATTACAGCAGATATAAAGGGATAATTTTACAAGAGAGGATGAAATGAGATACTTCACAAAAAGGCGGTGTTACAGCATCATACACACACCCATGCAAAGTGTGTAGGCGAGAGTCAGGAGGTTCTCACTGATCTTCCATATGAGGGAGGGAATTCGTTTATGGCGATGCACTGGACAAACACACAATGTTTTTGGAGAGCAAATGAACCCTGCTCATCTCCTTTAGCTGGCCTTTATTAAAGCTTGAGCCTCAGATGGCTGCTTGAGTTTCACCATACACAGGGCTTACTCAGAGACAGTGAGAGGGGGAGAGAGGAGTTCATGGGGACACATCGACAAGAGATGACTCCCAGCTGCCGGCTCTTCAGATGCAAAGAAAAACAGTCACAGATCGGCTCACACACACTCACATACCATTCTGTCACACAGGGTCCTGATGTGTTAACATTACAGGCTCCATAAATCTGGCGGGAGAGTTATCATTAGTTAGATGTCTGTGTTTCACTCATGGGGCGAACAAAGGTCACTTTGCCATTCCTGGAGGAATAAAGTGCTGAGAAAGTCCCTTAGCGCTCGACTGCAATGTCTAAAGACAAATGCACTAAATGTAGGATTCCTGTTTTAATACACTATAACTTTTCACCTGAACTGAGAAAATCTCTCTCTTCCCATTCCCATTCCCAATGTGACGAGAAGCATTATCGATCATTTACAATCACTCAGCTGAGCGAAAGCTAAGTTAACACACTTTAAAATGCATATCTTCCAGAGTTTTACAATCACTCAGCTGAACGCCCAGTGAGCTTGGTGAACAAAAGCTAAGTTACCACACTTTAAAATGCATATCTTCCAGAGCCAGACAGACAACTTCAATCTAAATCACATGGTAATACCAGAGGAACATATTAGACAGACACTTTATCAGAAGACAAATCCTAGCTAAGTGATCATTAACAAACAAACATACAATTATGGCTAATCTATACATGCTAATATCAAGCGAATGAGCACATGGAAAAGAATAGAAAGGAGAATGAATCATGAGCATGCACATTGCACACAGAAGGTATATGACTCTGTGAATGTGTGTGAGGACAGATTTGTCTGGCTGGCTTTGATCTTTTATTAGAGGCCTGAGGAAGATGCTGCTGAGTTGGAAAACATGTCATGGTGCTAAAACACTCCACAGGGAAGGTGAGTATAAGTGTTTCTGTGTCCCAGTGTTTTCATTGAAACTCCTGCTACTATGCATGTAAAAAAGAGAATCTGTGCAATAATTCGGCCCGTTTCCTGCCAAAACCTATGGATCAGTACAGCCTTTTTTTTTCCTTGAGCACTAATGCCAGGTCTTAGTAAGTGTGCCTTATGAATTCAAGGAGCACATTCCAGTCCCCACAGCCCGACATTTGACACAAACCTTTGACCTCCTCAACACAGAAACAATAAGCTACGCTACATAAGAACAAAGTAAAAACAACATACAACACATCCAGACGTCCCACATCACATACATACATTATATGGAATGTGAGTCTCTTTTTCTTATAACCAGGCTATGTTTCCTGCATCACATCCTCCTAGATAAAGTACAAAACCAAGCTGAGATCCCAGTAAGCTCTTTATCACTTCAATCATTTTGGGGTGGGTCTACTAACCACTGCTTGAAACTGTAGGATCCAGTTCGTCTTACCATGCTAACTCTGA